TCCTTGGCGGACACCAATGTTACAATTGTAAAATTCAGATGAAAGACCATTCATAGTCACAAGAGACTTGACTCCATTATACATATTTTTTATAAAAGTAAAACATTTTCCGGTAATGCCATTATTCAACAGTTTGTACCAAAGCCCATTTCTCCACACTGTGTCGAATGCCTGTTTGAAGTCAATAAAAGCACAAAAAAGTTTCTTTTTGAGAGACATCACCATGTTTGTAAGAAAATTTAAACTAAGTATATTATCCAAGGTAGAATAACCTTTCCGAAAGCCAGTTTGGCTTTCGCTTATAAGATTTAAGCTCTCTACATAACATTCCAAGCGTTTACATAAAATGGAGGTAAAAAGCTTACCAAGGCAACTTAAAAGTGTTATTGGACGATAATTTTCTGGATTTGTTGGGTCACCTTTATTTTTAAAAATCGGTTTGACAATACCCGTGAGCCATTCGTCTGGAATTATTCCACTATCAAAAATCAAGTTAAACATTTTTTTATATACAGGCAAAAAAGTAGCTATTGTTAATGAAATATGTTCGTTTAACAACTGGTCATAGCCTGCGGCCTTATTATTTTTCAATTTTTTAACTGCACATAAAATTTCTTCCTCACTAATCTCAAAATTCAAAAAATCATCACATACACGGCTATCTGTTGGAAAACTTAGAGTATCAACATCTTCTATGTCATTGTCATGACCTTCATTGATGCCCTTCAGAAAATCAAACATAGCATTAATATCTACAGCACATTTATTTAACGCATTAGGACCATTTAAAATTTTCCAGTATTCTCTAGTATTTGTTGATCGTAATGATTTCAAGTTTTTTGTTATGCCTTTCCTATAATCTTTTATACATGAATCCATAATCTTTTTATAGTTTTTGCTTTCTAATTGAAGATTAGCTTTATTTTCTAAACAAGGATTTTTACTATTTAATCGCTTTGCCAAATGATATTTCTTTCTCGCCGTTTTACACTCTTTATTGAACCAGGGTTTATTGCGTTTGTTTTCACAATTATCTTTCTTAAAATTACGACTAACCCCAAATGTTGATTTAGCTGTGTTTAAAAATATACCACATAACTTATTAGTAACATCGTTTAAAGTGTCTTTACTAATGTTACTTGTTTCTGTACTACTAGTCAAAATATCTAACTCATTCTCTATGTCCTTGACCTTAGATATATCCACATTCTCTGGGAAATGTTTTGCTTGGTCTTGTGACCATAGTTTTACACGTGACTGGTTTTCAACAATATCTTCACACCTGTGTTCTGTGGAAAGCGCTGGTAAAATAGAAAATGAAACTGGATTGTGCACGTCCGAATACAAGTTACAGAAGTCAGAGATATCAAAATCTTTAATAAATTTAAACATAGGTGCTGTGGCAACCACATAATCCACTGTGCTACTACCCTTACAAGTTAAACCTCCCACGTATTTATCACTGCCAGCACGGCCATTTACAATATAAATGTCATTGTTTTTACAAAAATCAATCATTTTGTATCCAAAGTTATTAACATGGACATCTTGTACTACCCTACGGAGAGGAATCTTAAAGTTATCAAAAATAATGGTTCTAGTCTCTATGGCTGTCTTAAAAAATTCCTCACATTTTTGTAATTGTAACTGAAAATCATCAGCTTCAAACCAGTCATTCAAATTGCCAACTCTTGAGTTAAAATCACCCATTAAACACGTATATTTGCTATCTTTAGATATAGAAATAAGTTCACTCTCAATGTCTAAAAAACAATCTGTAGAAGCATATTTACTGCCTTCCGGGGGCAGGTACACGACACCAAATATTACATCTTCATCAGTATTAAAAATACATTTGCTTATCTTAAATCAAAGAACATATTTACAAGTAGTGTTCAATATTTTCACATATTTAACCAAACTATCTCTTACAGCTAAAATAATTCCTCCTGACCGAGTTTTTGACAATTTTTGTCTATTTTTCATAAATAATGTAAAACCTGGAATCTGAATTAAATCAGCGTCATCAGTTTTTGTTTCAGTAAAGCCGATAATATCAAAATTGGAGATGTGATCTAAAAATTCACTGTAATTGAGTTTATTTTTGATTCCACAAACATTTAAACTTAGAAGTTTGATAGAGTTGTTTGCTGACTTCTGACCCTCCGCGCTCGCCTATTTCGTCGGTGTCGAAGATTTCCTAAAGCGTTTGTTTCCTCGTGGGGGTGGTGTAGGATTGTCATTATTGGCAGGCTCGCGGCGCGCTCCGGACGTCCACGGTGTGTTCCTGGAACTCTGGGACATCCTTTGAGTGGGGTAGTTCAGGGAGTTGACGTGTTCCTCTGTATCACTTGGTTCATACATCTCACCATCAATGTACAATTTGTCCACAACAAGTTTCACACGTTTATTGTTTTTCATCGCCTTGCGCATAACTGGATACAACTTGCGCCGTTTCTCCTCTACCTCCGGTGGAAATTGTTCATTCACCCAAATGTTAGATCCCTTAAGTTTGAGAGGGGCACGTTTGCGAACAAATTCACGATCTTTATAAAAGCTAAACTTTGCCACAATGTTCCTTGGCTTGGTTCTGTACTCATCGGGTTTTCCTAAACGATGCACTCTCTCTAAGGGAATTTCATCATGGATTTTTAGCTTGGTTTTCAGGAAATCTCGCAGAACTTCTTCACAGTTTTCATCTCTGTTTTCAGGTATGCCGGTGAATACTAAATTATCCCTCATTGACCTGCTTTTTAGATCGATCACTGATTTATGTAATTCACGCTGACCGTTGGTTAAGTCTGTAATATCATCAGATAATTTCTTGTCTAAATTGGCTGTATCAATTCGAATAGCTTTCAGGTCTTGATCTGCATGTGATTTAACATTCTCAAACATATCACTCATAGACTGAGCACTTGCTTCAATGGACGACACGGTCTGTTTCACATTCTTGACCTCACTCTCAAATCTGTTTACCCTATCATTTAGTGTAGATATGGAGTCGGTTATTGACTGGAAATGTGTCATTTTATTTTCAATCTCACACAGCCTTTTGTCAAGTGTTGTGTTATTGCTCTCAATGACTGCAAGTCTTGAATTTATTTGCAAAAGAAGTTCATGTAGTGTCCCAAGGGAAATTTCTTTTTGTACCTTTTGAGATTCGTCATTACTATAAGCTGGGTACATAACAGAATGACTTTGAGATAGAATATTTGCCGTATCTGCCATCGATGTTTCAGACATGATTTCATATGCAAAGTTTTTCTATCTGATCAGTTACTTTATAGACCCTGTACACTCTGTAGTTCCTTGTGGACATGCACATTCAAGAATGATCACTGAACACTATTCAGTGATTCTAGTGTTTATGAAACACACAGCCCATATCAAAACTCACCTAGCGAATCCAAATATTCCAGTTAATCTCTTTTTATATTTCTAAAGAACTCGTACCCGTAGATTTTCAGCCTCAAGGACCACTAAAGACACATTTACACACAGAATTCACAGATTTTTCGAGAGCAGATTTAAAACACCGCCATACTGGTCGAGTCACGTGATCTCCATCCCATTAACAAATTCATCAATTTTAATTGCTCAATACTCCTTCCAAACTGTTTCAGTGTTATATAAATACAGTATTGTTCACGGGCTAATATCGCATTTAAATATATTCAGTGAATGTCAAGGTAAAGTCAATGTAGAAGTGTTAACATAGAAGGACCAGCTATAATTGCACCATCAGAGTTTTTCAATTCTTTAATTATTTCCCCGCTGCAGACAAGATTTACGAGTGAATTTACTGCCCTATCCATCTAAATAAGCTCTTCGAATGAAAGCTTTTGTTCAATGCGATTATCTTATCCAAAACATCAAATTAATGTATTTAAAGAAAGTGGGCGCATTAGATGGGCAGTCGGCAGGAATTATTGACACGTTTAAATGTCCAAGAACCAAGTAGTTTTAATACATATCTTATACAATGAACCTAGAAACTTCATGGGAATGGATTTCTGTCTTATGTTTGTTTATTTGTAAATATTTTTTTTTCAATTAAAAGGTGTCATGAAAGATAAATTATCTATGCTGGATACATTTAATAGAATACATGTATAATAGAAGTCTACCACTAAATAATTTTTGTGCTCATTTTTCAAATGCACTGAAAATAATGAATGTAATAGAACGATCGAAGTTGCTAGTTTTTTTAAATATATTCAATATTTTTTCATCAGGTGTAACTTTGTAGTTACAAGTTCTCAGTGTTTATTTCTGTCTGGGAACGTTAGCACTATGACAAACTGTGAACGCATTGAAATAAAAAACAATTAATGTAAAATAATTTATAAAACATAATTTTGAAACTTTTTTCAAGGAGTACTTTTTTACTACCAATTAAAGAATTTTAAGCAAAAAAAAAAAAAAAAAAAAAAATAAAATAAAATAAAAAACACTGTATTCGAACCCAAAATGCTGCGTCTATCTTGCTGGAATCCAGCGACAAACCAATGTAGCTACCGCGGGACACTATCAATACATCGTATTTAAATCATTATTTAAAGCCAAAGCCCTATATAATTGAACTTAGTCAATTTTCTGCCAGAAAATGAATAGAAAAACTTTAGATTTTGGTATTTCTGGGTCATCTCTCCATTTTTTAAACAACTGGAATAAATTTTACGGTTAAAAAATACACTGATAACGCATTTAAAATTCATGGAGAGAAGACCCAGAAACAACAAAATAAATGAAAAACGGTTATAAAAGAGTCAAGTTGTGCATCATTTGACTCGTATGGTTATATTCAGGGGCATATTCAAAAAGAACCAAACATATTTAACTGAAAATTTGCCCATTTTACATTCACCTACGACACAGTCATTGGCTAGGTTTTGAAAAAAATGTATAAATCAATGATAATTTTTTATTCTTTTTATGAGCCACTATTCCTGCCGAATCCTCATTTAAAGCGCCCACTTTCTTAGGGAAATTTATACCTAACCAATATTCAGTAGACACGTTCCCAAAACCACGTTGATATTCCGTCCAATCCCTGGAGAAAGACACAGATCCATCAAGCCGCTTTTGAAAAACCTGCAAAGAACAGAAACATTGATACATAAACATTGTGAATACTTATGTGAAATTATAAAAATTCGTTCTTTTGAAAAATATTAATTTGTTTGTTGTTAAATTCTTAATACTGTTATGCATGTCAGTAATCAAAGAGCACAATTATCTGAGGGACAATCAAACTACCAAAGATGACATATCAAAGTTTAAATACCATTTATAATATTTGTTGCATCAAAATTGTTTTGAAATCTACGAATTACCAAAATTTCTTGAAGGCTTAAGGCTGATATTTCAATTGATGTTGCATATTCGCATATTTCTTAGTACCAAAATAATAGTTAATCTCTTCATGAAATCCATAAATATATATATAAATATATTCGTAATTTCGAGGTTTTGTTTTTTTTTTATTGAAATGCAATTATACTGGTAAAACAATTACTGCAGAGACAAAATAATAATCCTGGAAAATGGAAACAGCAACAAACCGTCCATCCGCCTCCCATGGTATGCATATCACAGAGAACTTCTTTATATATGGAGTTGTTCAACGGATGGATCCTATAGATACCAGATAGTCTTTGTCCTTTGTCCATAATATCAAGGCAGTCCGTAGGATATGCTTTAACAATGATCAGATGTCAAATAATTACTAATGAATATATGGAGATAAAAACAGCATTCCGTGACAATGATCTTGTCAGCAAATACAATATAACATTGAGTCAAATGCTGAATGACGTTTTTTTTCATACGTATTGTTAGTCCAGTATTAATACATTGAACTGAAGACGGATTTTCCGTTTCTGCTCATCATGTTAAGGAGTACTTGGAAGGTGTGACCGGTCGGTAGGGGATGTTCACTCTTCTATGGCACCTGATCCCACCTCTTGTTTTTGTGGACCGCGTTCTCTCTGCTCCTGTTGTATATTGTTTTATGGACTTTTGATCTTGAATACTGTTCATTATCTCCTTATGTTTCAATAGCAAGGTGAAAAACAATTACAAAAGTGCACGAGAAGTATGATTAATAATTGACAAATGAATGAGTATTTTTCTTTATCGTTATCCGTGCACTCTTTTAATATTCTAATCTAAGAGGACATTCTCACAACGTTAACACTGAAAATAAGTATGGGGGTTATGCTACCCTTCATTTGGCAAATATAATTGACATTTTTTGGTAAGAAAAAAATATCATTAAACAAATTTGGAATAGTTGAACATCTACATTAGCTGTTTTTAATTACGTTTGATTCTATTTTGTGTGTTAATCGGCTAGGAATAGACGCTGTTTAATATAGAATTGTTGTTTTAGATTTATCTAGTTTTAAAATAGACAAAAAATCAAAAGCATATTAGGTAATCAGAGATTACAGAGCTCATCTCAACGAATGTTGTTTAATTAAGTCAAAGTCACACAATTATCCAACAAAAAGTGTGCATCCAAAAATACAAAATTTATACAATTTTGTTCTGATACTTTGGAATAGACCTATATAAAAACTTCATACTAGTTTTTCGTCACAAAAATGTGATTAAAATCCAGCATCTGGAGCAAGTTTGAGATTTTTCATCCCTTGATGCATCATTTTGGCAAGTTTGGTTTATATAAACCTAATAGTTTCTTGGAAATAGATCTGCATCCATAACCTTTACCTGGTCCATTATCTGGAAAATGTATTTCGAATTCAGCATCCGGAGCAAGTCCATTAGTGTGCATCCTAAGATGCATCATCCGTGTGAGTTTGCACAACATAGGGCCAATAGTTACTTAGAAATGAAACCTTTATAAAAATTTTACCTCTTCACTCATCCAGAAAAAAATTGATGTCAGATTCAGCATCAGAAGCAAGTCTGGTAGTAAGCATCCTTAGATGTATCATCCATGCAAGTTTGGTCATCAAAGAGCTCATAGTTACTTGGAAATGAAACCTGCACCAAAAACTGCAACCTGTTCACTCATCAGGAAAATGAAGGTCAGATTCAGCATCCGAAGCAAGTCTGAAAGTATGCATTTTAAGATTATCATCCATGCAAGTTTGGTCATTATAGGGCTCATAGTTACTTGGAAATGAAACCTGCACCGAAAACTTTAACCTGTTCACTCAACCGGAAAATGTAGGTAAGATTCAGATTCTGTCAACATAAGGCTTATGATCACTTGGAAATGAAACTTGCACCAAAAACATTAACCTGTTCACTCATGCGGAAAATATAGGTCAGATTCGGCATCCGAAGCAAGCCTGGTAGTGTGCATTCTTAGATTGATTGATTTTATGTTATTTTACGTCCCTCTCAAAAATTTTTCACTCAAATGGAGACGTTGCATCCTTATATGTTTCATCCATGCAAATTTGGTCGACATAGGGCTTATAGTTCCTTGGAAATAAGACCCACACCAAAAACTGCATCAAAAATGTTAACCTGCTCCAAAACATTAACCTGGTCATTCCTTTACTGAAATTGCAGCATCTGAAACTTTGACTGATACAATGAAACGCATTAGAAGCATTTTCCATGCATGTCTAATCAATATAGGACATAGAAGTACTTAAAAAGAAAACTGCTCCAAAAAAAAAATACCTTAACCTGGGACGCCGATGCCGACACCGACGCCTAAGGTATTACATAAGCCCCCCCCAACTTCGTTGAGGTGAGCTAACAAAAAAGTACTGAAACATTTATTTAAGTCTACAGGAAACGCATTTTGATTGATTAATTGATTGATTGTATATTGTTTAACGTCTCTCTCGAGAATTTTTCACTCATATGGAGACGCCACCATTTGCCGGTGGAGAGCTGCAAATTTTGTCCTATACTCCACGGTGTAGTACCTAAACGGTTGCTATCAGAAAAAATTGCGCGTTCATCACTGCTATCTGAAAATTGAGCGGTTGCTAGTGGAAAAAAATGGAAATTGTAAGTATTTTTCTTCGTTGGCTCAACAAAATGGTCAATAATTCAATTATTAAAGTTTAGATGCTTGGTATTCCACCCTTACGGAACGTTAATTATATTTTGAAACTAACATGTATATTTAGAATTTTAATGAATTAAAGAATTGCTGATATATGAGACGAAAACTGTCGAAAGCGTTGGACACATTTACATGCACGTAAGAAATATTTTAAAATTGCGTCAGATGTTTTAGATATTTGATAAAAATGAATCGACAGTTCGTTGTGTATTAGTAAATAGTATTGGTTATTTTATATCATTGTCCACTTTGATGGGTTTCTTAAAAGCGTTTTTATAAGGAGGATCTTGTGTTACGGCTACTATTAGACAACAGCACCGGTTACTATTGGAAAAGGTTTAAGTTTTTAAATTTCATGAAATCACATCCTTAATTTACATATGTTATGCAATTATAGTTAAGAAAACTATATACTTTCTTAATGATTAAACTTTGGCAAATCTTTTTTTTATTGGTGTACCCCCCTCCCCCACTTTCAATTTGCTTCCGACGCCTATGGCACATGTGCGCACACACACACAACTGTTAAAGTTTTGTGTTGGTCATTTAATCATGTGACCATTCAATTTATTATATTTCAGGTATGTCATTATGCCTGATTGATTAAATTTACGATTTGGAATTTAAAAAATCATATATAATTATCGATTCACAAACGACGAGATCTTATTTGTCTCAAACATTCACGCAACCCACCTCTATGAATCCAAGCATAAACCTACAAATTAACAACCTCTATATCTGATTTAAAAAAAAATATGAATTGAAAAATGAATAAAGCTCATATAAAGTTATAAAGTTTTGCTGTCCAACGTTGATAATTTCTCAAGTACATGTAAAGTACACAATGTACATAAGAGTAAAACGTGGACAATAACGTATGTACATAGGAGCTTACATTTATTACGATTTGTATACGTATACATGTATATAGGACGTTCAAATACTGTACATGTGCATCGGGTAAAGCACGTTGAAGGTAAAAAGGGGGGTGTCTGCTCCTCTTCCTCCCTTTTTGTTAAGAGAATTTTTTGATATTTTTTAAAAGAATCTTTGCTGTAGTAGTGTCAAAGACTCCTAGAGTCCAACAATTATTTTAATGAAATATATTAAGTCAATTTACAAGAAAAATGACAGTAAAAAGAAGTGGAAAACATCAATATAAAAACCACGCTTTCTTTCGTGGAGGGGGGGGGGGGGGCTTGTCTTTTCTTGCCTATATAATTTAAAGAACTCTTAAAAGCCTAATGGGGGAAGGGGGTCGATGTTTTGAATATTGCATGTTAGTCATACAACGAACAAATGCATCACCGTACTTCGAAAAAGAAATATGGAATTAGAAATATTTGACAAAGCTTACACTTAAACTTTTCTAGATATTATACATGTTTAAGTGTACATGTAGCCTACAAAAATCCCCAAAGACTCTAACTTAAGAAAGGTTTTAAAGAAAATTAATGATTGTAAATGATTGTAAAAATATATTATATGCTATTTCAAATTGATTTACGGGTCCTTTCGTAAAGCTTTCTTTTTGATTTGTGTAGCAATGCTTTTCGAATATTAGCTCTACTTTTAAAAATACGATACATTCGAGTTACAGACCCCCCCCCCCTCCACAATTTGTTTCAAGCATAACCTTTACTTTCTAAAATGTTTATTGAAAGGTCTGCTGGCTTTCTTCCAAGCATAACATTTAATATATTGAAAATTTTCATTGAAGGCCCCCTTTTTTATTGCAGTATAGTCAAAGAAGGGTAGGCAGTAGCGCGTGAGCATGTCTGCTTTTTAAAAAATAGATTTGAATTTTTCTGCCCCCCCCCCCCCCCTTTTCAAAATCGAAGTTACACCCCTGAGTTAAGTTTGTAAAAGTCAACAGCATATATAGACATCTTATTTCACATGCAATTTTAGATATTTTAAAATGTATATTTTAGACATTTGCTGCCATAAGTTTGTTTCACATCTCTGTTAATAAGGAACATTTTCAAATAGCAGCCGCTGCGATGTTTTCAGTTATTAACCGGTGCAATATATGCTGAGACTCTGATGGCAACCGTAACTTTAAAAAATCGTGTTTTGTCCAAAAATCTCTTTTAAAATACACTTGTCAATTTTAAAGAATTATTTCTAACAATTATTATTGATTGACGCATCTTCAAATACCAAAATACCCACAATCTGAATAATAGATGATGTAAAAAAGCATGAAAACTGGGTATTTATAGACTGAAGATTTGGTACAGGCTTCGGAAATTTTACTAATTCTAAATTATTAGAGGGCTATTCTGCAAATTACACATGACAACATCTATAGAAATACCTTACTTGTTCCGTGCACCCGGACTTTTCAGAGACTATCTTGATTTGGGGTCATGATTTCACTGTTTTACAACTTGTTGTAAGAGTTTTCAACATATTCATTTCTGCTAGCAGCCGTAAAATTTTCGAATAGCAGCACTGAACGCGGTTTTGTTCCGATAGCAGCCGTTTAGGTACTACACCGTGTACTCGGCACTCAGGGCCATTGAGCAGGGAGGGATCTTTTTCGTGCCAGCACCTACTGCGACACGGGGCCTCGGTTTATACGGTCTCATCCGAAGGACCAGTCTCCACGTCCTGCAGTGGGATTCGAAACGCATTTTGAAAAAAAAATGTTTATAAATTAAAACCCTCAACAGATAACGTATGAAGGATTTACCTTATGTGATATTATATGTGATATTATACTAGATTTATTTTTTGTATGAATCATGTTTCAAATTGCTTGATAACTAAATTTGTTCCGAGTTATTCATTAGGGTTACATAACGTACAAACTATGATAGTAACTATAATTACAGAGACAGTGAAGCTTTTCGCATCTTGCCTTTGCAAAGGTATCCACCCCATCCCGGTAAGCATCCTTCTGGGCAGGTGCCATTAATAAAATCACATGCTACATCACCACTGCAATGTCCACAGGTCTCACTGCATCGGTCACCGTACTTCCCAGAAGGACATTCTTTTAAACATAACAAGATACTTAAAATAAGTATTTCAGGTTAACATGATGCTTCATGTAATGTATCATGAATATATCAATTATATATTTCATACATTAGTGAGCCCTGTTTTAAATAGATTGGTTGAAACTGGCAAAGTGGTTCTTGAGAAGACGTTAAAAATATGAAAACTTTACCGACAACTCACAACAGTTGACAAGCAGACAGATAAATAGACGGACGCTTGACACATTTTGATCAGAAAAGGTCATTTGAGTTCAGCTTTTAGTGAATTGAAAATAATCTTACGTTCAGTACATATAATGCCAGTCCAGCCTTTAGAACAGCCACGTGAACATGTACCGTAGACGAAATCACATGGAGCAGCATCGTTGCAGTGTCCACAGTCTCGGTTGCAGTTTGCTCCAAATTTTCCAGGTGTACACTCTACAAAATTAATTAAATACAGTAATACTTTATAATTATCAAGAACGAGGAATATTTACATTGTATACACGGCTAAATAATGGAGTTGCAGCTGATGGCCACTATACTGAAAGTTTATCTCCTTTTTTGCAATGTGGTATTGTGGCATTCAAATCATGTTTTTGATATGACCCATGACTAGATGGGATTGATTATTTCTCCGAGGGTATTCTTTAAGGGAACACTTCACGTTCAAAACATTTTTATAAACAGGTGATCTAATGACAAACAATTGATATAAAGCAGGAAATTGTATCGATACAAAGTATCATTGAATAACCTTTCAGAGGTGAAGTAAAGACCCATGCCACTTTTAAAAAATACGAGTGTCTTAAAACAAAGAAACTGACCCTATTTGTTGTAGGCACCGGTATGATATTTCATTACTGAATACTTTAAGTATTTGTGAGATTGCTGCAAATTGTCGAGAATTTATCAAATGTATACTTTAATTATCAAATTGAATATTTAAACGTAAATTAAAAGATTTGAAGATAGAGAACAAAATTAAAGAATTGTCTTATTAGTATTTTTTGTTTACTTTTTATTCATCGCACTCTAAGCATTTCACTTCATTGTTTGCCATCGTCATTGACCAAAGATCAACATGAAAGGTTAAGTCATATCAGACTATTATTGAGAGTTCGCTACATTCTAATTAAAAATAAGATTGGAAGTTACCTTTCGGGAGTTGTGAAAAGATTTTTAATAATTGCATGTTGTTAGTTTTCTGATTCCTACGCATATCCTCCAGTGTTTCATTGACTGAAACAAAAAAGCTCCCAGAATTGCTTTCCAGATTTTGTAAACGTTGATCAAAGTCATCCGTTTTGGACTTAAGTTCTGCAATAAGCTGAGTAATATTTTGTGTCTCTCCTATTGACATATTTTTGTTTATTGTCATAGCCTCATTTAAAGCAATTAACTTCTGACTAAAGTTGTAGTTTTCGATCTCCAAGCCCTGCTCTTTGCTTTCCAAACTCTGTAAATTCTTTATCACCTCTTGTAGTCTTTTCTTAACAATTTGAACATTGTCCGTGTTGTCTATGACATCCATTACAAGCTTTTGAATTTTTTGCACCATTGAAAACCGTACAAGACTTTCCTGATTTAATATTTCCCTTAAAACACTGGACGTTTTCCCAGAAGTCGTACTAGGCATCAGATCTTTTTTCTCCACGACACTTTTATCTAAATCATTTGGAATACCCAACGCTCCATAGGCAAACGATATTAAATATATTAATTTTCTGAGCTCCATGACTGTTGGAAGGCCTATCTTCAAGTTCAAGTTAAACTTTTTCTCCGACTAGCAAAGTCACCTGCTTATATAATGATAAAAATATCTTTTTTGTTCATGAGTAACGTGATGCAGTACATATGAAAACGTCATGCCAATCAAACAGAAATAAACAACATTCTTAAATCTCGGTTCTGGTCTAAAATTTGTGTTTTAAATCTGCATTTCAAAGTAATGAGGAAAGAAATAGAATACAAAAATGGTTTTGTCTACAACGATGACAATTGCCTTTGCTTGCCTTTGTCCTTTTACAGCCGACAATTTGCATTTATTGAAGAGTCTATTTTATCTAGAAACAACGCACATTTTTGCAAATTTAGGGCTTGCCTCTGATTTTCATTGCGATGTATTTTATATCAAAATATAATACAAATTAGTTTGATCAAATGTTTAAGGCTGCAAATCACCGTGTAACTTTCGCATAGCTTTTTTTTTCAAATACTTTATCTGAGTCTACATATTCATCAGTACAGCGAGTAGACTAGCTGTTCCTTACTTCATTGTGATAAAAATTTTCAAGGTTTTTTTCTCCATACAATTGTATTGTAATGTTAAATTTCCCAATCATGACAAGGAGCATACGGCAGGTGTGCCGAATATAGTACAAAATTTGCAGCTCTCCACCAGCAAATGGTGGCGTCTCCATATGAGTGAAAAATTCTCGAGAAAGACGTTAAACAATATACAATCAATCAATCAATCAATCCATGTAAATTTTAATAAAGATAGAATTTGAAGTGAAAGACATCTGTATAGGTTAAGAAGACTTTCTGTAGAAAAGTAGAATTTTGAACATCAAAAAAGGTTTACAATTTCTTAATATTTTGAAAATTTTTTAATTGAATCTTTTGCAGCACATTAGGCCGAGAAATAAATGGCCAATCCAGGCATTCCTTTTTTGTTTGTATCATCTGTCCTTAATAAATTCCTTACAAATAATAAACTAAGCATTTGCTTTATCGACACCTGTTCTGTGAAGCAGGAAGAATACAGAAGTGTATTTAGATGCATTCAATTCAATGCTAAGGCAATAAAAAGATTCAAGAATATACTACTTTCCAAAGGTATTAAAGAAGCGTATTGTTTTTATGTACATTAACGTGATGTGACGAACGAACAAAATATCATTCTTGTTAAAAGACAAACGTCATAACGTTATCTAATTCCCGAAAATTTCAATTTTGTTTAAGAATTGATTTATGTTTCCAGTATTGTTGGCGAGAAATCAATCGCCGGTGAATACTTTTTAATTTTAGCTATACACTACTAACTGAGTCTATTTTTGTAAATTTATTTTAAAGGTAATTACAAGTTAATCTGAAAATTTGTGCATAAATTAATTAAAGAAGTGGATTCTTTTTAGAGAGTTGGAAATGAATATACATGTATATTGTTCTTGTTGTAATTCGTGATATATGGTAACATTGCATTGACTAATATAAATCATCGGATATTTTACAAATAAATCCACCATACTCCATTTTCAAAGAATATTCATAAGTCGCGCTCAGAAATCGAAAACGAGGCTAAGGTCGGTAAAATTGTAAACAAAATGTCGGCGGCTGAAGAGGAAGGGAAGGGTCACGACAAGCACTGCTGTGTGCCATTCTGTAATGGAAATGGCAGGCTTAACCCAGATTTATCCTTTCACCGGATACCAAAGGCTCCAGAAAAAAGAAAGGAGTGGATTCAAGCGATTAGGAGAGACCCTGGTCCTCTGTTTACCGTGAGTGACCTTCCGATACGTGTTTCAAGAACACGTAAACAATATCGATGCAAACTGATCAGTGATCCGCACTCATATAAACAGATATGTATTATCCCTTGGTTAAGAGTATATTTTCATATATTTGTCAGAATATATGTGGAATGACATACTATGCAATGAACAGAAATGTCATCTGATGCAGATGCAAGTCAGTCAGCTGTTTATTCATGTTGAACTCAATGTCAGCTAAACCTTTTTCGCATAACTTTCTGTAATCATAATAAAAATGTTAAATCTAGTATGAAAATTCGTTAGTAGATAAATATTAAATAATGAAAGTGTTTTACATGTGAAGATTGGTACCCTAGTTTCTTAACTTAAAAAGAAATCACATAGCTCTACGATTAGGTTACTTGTATTTACAGTATCTTACTGTTAGCAAGTATCATTAACCAGTTCACCATCTGATATCTCTAGATGCATCTTTTAATTTATATTGCTTAAAGTTATGTAATATGCTCCAAAATGCTTACTGCTTCTATTTTATGTCATGTAAGTAATATTTCAGTGTAAAATTCATTTCATTATAATTATTCAGATAAGTGATGAAACAGTTGTCTGCTCTCGCCATTTTAAAAAGGAAGATATTAAATGGACTCCAGTGAGGACAACGTTGAAACCTGGGTCGGTACCCTCAGTTTTCTCCTGGAAGGCGGATACCAACAGTCGACGCCCAATAGTTAAACACACCCTTCCAGAGAAAAGACCTAAGCAGGAATTTGAGGATTCAAGTGTGAGACCTGAGGAAATGGATTCTACTCCATTGTTAATTGAGGATGGGTAATTTTCACAGAATTTTTCAAGAGTAGCTAAAAAAAGACTTTTGATTCATGTTAATCTGTTGTATAGTAAAATAAACATAGATTTATGAAAAATGTATATATATTAATTATGTAAAAAGTACATTTCTAATTTTGGTCAGATTTTTTGTTATGTACGTACTACAGGTCAACAGAACAAAACACCATTACATGTACAATACTACTGGTAAAACACAATATTAATACATTTTATTGAAATTTATAATGGTTAGTTTATACCATGTTGTTATAATATTTATTTGTGTACAACAAGATGGTTTACTGTAATTAATATTGTCTAACTCTTACATTTTAAAGCATAAGGTGACTACATTTTTTTAAAAATATGCATACTGATGGAATATAGACTTACAATCAGAAGTTTGAATTTTTCAGGAGATGTATCATAAAGTCAAATTTTACATGAATCATTCTCAGAAAAGTTATTCTTTTGTCAAACTGATTACTTGATATATTCAGTTTGCAATTGTAATCAACTTTTTTGAATGATTTAACTTTCAACTGCTGCTGGACAGTAGAATGCTGGTCATCATGTCAGTAAGGTATGATTTTTTTTCATGTACTTTTTGCAGAGTCTCTTTAAAAAAAAATCTCATGATTTTAGTTCTCCTCCTCCTGATGAAATACATGAGAAGAATAAGAGAATCCAAGAATTAGAAAATTTGTTGCAGAAGAGGGATGAGGAAATCAAGACTCTACAACAGAAGATTGAGGTTGAACGATTTGGAATTCAGCGGTTTTCAAATGACGATTCAATGATTCAATTTTACACAGGATTTACTACAATGGCTATGTTTTTAGCTTTTTTTGAATACATCAAACCTACTGCAACGTGTATGAAAAGCTATTATTATAAATCTTGTGATAAACCTAACCAGCAGGTAAATGTAGGCAAACAAAGAAGCATGTTGTTAATTGACGAGTTGTTCATGTTCTTATGCAGGTTGAAGTGTGGTCTAATGGCACAAGATTTAGGAGTCAGATTCAATTGTCATGTTTCTACTGTTAGTCGAAAGATCATAACATGGGCAAACTTTCTTTATTTTATTTTAGGCAGCATAAATATCTGGCCTAGTAAGGAACACATTTATGAAAAAATGCCCCAGTCCTTCAAGTTGTTTTACCCCTCAACTAGAGTCATAATTGACTGCACAGAGATTAAAACTGAGCGTCCATCATCCTTAGCACTTGGGTCAAAATGTTATTCAACATATAAGAGTTCACACACATGGAAAGGGCTTGTAGGAATCGCTCCTCATGGAGCTCTCACTTTTGTGTCCTCATTATACACAGGGTGCATGTCAGACGTCGAAATAACAAAATTATCTGGCCTACTTGATCTTATGGAAGAAGGTGACTCAATTATGGCTGACAAAGGGTTTGTGCTGAACAAGGTATTAGAAGGTACAGGCATTTCTGTCAACACCCCTCCGTTTCTTCTTAGCCAAGGTCAGTTTTCAAAGCAGGAAGTAGAACAAACACAAATTATTGCAAAGCTAAGAATACACATTGAACGACATATTCGTAGGGTCAAAGAATACCATCTCTTTGATGGCGTCATCCCATTGAGTATGACTGGTACTATAAATCAGATCTGGACTGTTGCTAATATGCTGACTCTGTTCAGAGGTCCTCTTGTCAAAGATTGGTGTAAATGAAAAATTTTATTAATGTGAATACAGGACATATATTTACTCAATTTTGAGTTCAGGGTGTAAGCTGCTATGATATTTATGATGTCAACTAGTAATTAAATTCTTACAATGACTGTTTTTATTGTTGATTAATCTGATTTCGGCTGAACACTGTAGATTGGTTATTTTCCTCAAGATAATTTTTTACTTCTTGTGATAAGGGAGGGTTTTATATATACATAACATATCCTCTATTCAGCTTTTATTCAGTAAGCTATATTAGCCCTCTGTTTTTAATATAGCTGTACAGTAAAACATACTTATAACAAAATTCCAGGGACAAATTTGTTTCAAATTTATAATATTTGTCAGTATGTAAACTATGTTTCAAAACCAAAGGGAAAAGAAATCAATTTGCTGTATGTGTGAATTCATTAGTCATCATTTCATTAAAAGTGTATTTGCTATAAGTTTGTTTTACTGTGCATGATAAAAAGTATTTTAAAAATAAGTTTCAAAGATTGTTTTTATTCAAGGAAGTAGTTAAAATAGAATGAATCAATCTTGTTTTTCATTTCCTGCCACTCTTCATTATCAAAGGTAATCACCTCCAAATGGCTCTCATCACAGTGCCACACAAAAAAATAACAAAATAACAGGTAAGACCTGTCACGGCAAGCTGCATCATAACTTGGTGGTAGTAGTTATGGTTTTCCTTCAGTCTCCATACATCCCCATCCTTCTTCAAATAAATACACTCTGTTAAGGGTTTTACAGGGCACTTTATCTCCAGCAAACCATAAGGGGGGTTCATAGTTGGGTTGTATACCTTCCTGTCTGGGCTAGCAGCAAGCCAGGAAGCATAAGGACTGACAATGATTCCACAAGGGTATATGTTGACATTGTTGTTTTGCAACTGCAATTTAAGAAAAAATTAATAAGATTTTAAAGATATGATATAAACAAAATACATCATACATGAATCTAACATCAGTCATGCATAAATTGTGTTACATGTCCAGAATCTTGTGAACATGTATACTAGTGATTGTATTATGTTACATCTTTGATAGATAGATTAACATTACTTACTTGTTCAAAGGCTTCAGCAGCAACTGCCTCGAACGACAATCCATGTCGCATACTCTCTGTGACGACTTTTCTTGTTGTCTTCAATCTTTTAATCAAAGGTCCAAAATCTATAAACAGAGTATATACAATAATTTCAGCATACAAATTAAAATTTATATCTGTGCAAAGAAAATTCATTTTCATATAAAATATGTTGGAAATACACGTTTATGTAAATTTAAATTGATGCAAATATATATATCAAATATTGAAAATGGTTTTGAATGAGGTAATGTCTGCATAAACCATGATAAGATTTTGTAAGGTAACACCTTACCTGCTCTACGCTTCACAATATCACCACAGACAGATGCAGTTATCCTCTCCTTGCGAATGGCATGCCACTTGGGACTTTCTCCTTGCAACCTTGTCATTTCCTCAATTTGATGGCACTCCTCTTCTGTGACATATATAGCAGACAAACTACCACTTTTCTTTTCATCAAGAATCACATGTCATGCAGTTGTTGTTGCATAACATTTTCAACAGGAAGAAGTGGAAATTCACCAGCATCTAAAATATTTAATACATAATGGGATGACAGTTTTTGTTGCACAGCAAGTGGAGATCCTTTTGGAAATTTACCGAACTTTGTTTCTGTATATTTCAAGTCCACTTTGTCATCCAAATTCACAACAGTAAGTAATAAAGAAGTCTTGTCAACTGCTGAAACTCTGGAACAAAGGTCAGAGATCGGGAGATATCAGAATTGATTGGATTGTACAAAGTTGATCGTAATCCACGGGGTTGTTCTTGAGGTAATTTGGAATCGTAACCATGTACAACCACGTTGTCCGCAGTGCTTCCAGAGATCTTCTCTCCTCGTGGGAGATGCCAGGTCTGAGGCAGAGAAGTCTTCAAAACATCAGATGGTATGAATGTCATGTTAACTGATTTCATGTGCGCAAGACAAAATAACAGCCCAGTCACATGCCCACAGTGTCCTGACTGTCCAATTGTACACGAACAAGAGCTGCTGTCAAGAATGGGATCATCCAGCAGAAAAATCTATAAAATGTACCACAGCTTGTTGAACAAAACTGATAACTCGTGCATAGAAAATTAAAGTAGATGCAAAGCATTGTTGTCTGTCACTAAATTTACAAATCTTGATATCATTTTTTTTAAATTAAAATTACTAATTATACATGTGATTAAACATCTTACTGATCAAAATTAATTTTTTTTTCTTACCTCAATATCATGAGGGGATTCATTCCTGCGCTGTGACCTGTGGCATTTTCCTTTAACTACACAACCGTTTACTGCACTGTGAACTAAATTAATTTAGGAAAATGAATAACTTTGTTGACTTATTAGTTTATGAAGATTATTATTCATAAATATAATTTAAACGCATCTGTTTTTCCCTTGATTGTGTGTATAGATTTTTACACTTGACCATCGTACATATCATGATCGTAACGTAAGCAAAGTGAAAGTTCAAACGGAGATATTTATACGTACTTGTGATGTTTGTTACATATCTCTCGGCGAAATATTTATATCCTTTAGATATTTCTTTTTCTCCGAGACTCTGACTTCCTTTCTTTATGTAGCTCTCGACAAATCCAAAGGTAATATTTGGTACTTTTGTCAAGTCTCGCGTTGCAGACGCTTTTTTCGCCTCCATCTTTGTTTGTACTCGATACGACCTTAGCCTCGTTTTGAGTTCGATATGCATATTCATAAAATCTCATTAAGAAAGGAGTATACCACACACATAGACAGATATAACATTTGGTAAAATCATTTATATCTGTATACTACCACTAGATTACTGGCAACATTAAAAAGCTATCAGCGTTTTTTATCCTTACAAATTAATTCTGAACTGACGTTATCGTTGGAAACAGACATCATTACAAGATTTCTGATAGGAAGAGGGTTAATAGCTAACCATGAAATCTTGATATCTTGATGATTGTGTCACTCAAGTGATTAATTACTAAAGGTTACTCCAAAAAAGAAGGATAATCATTTATATTAAAATGAATGTAATCGTCGCTTATAGGTTATCACGATGAAATTTTATTGTTCCAAAAGATTTATCTAGTTTCTGAAATTAAGCTTTTGTTTCATGTTTTTAAAACAATTATTTCTAAATTTTAGAGCTTTTCAAATTATTTTCTCTGTTTAATTTACGTCTCTTGATTGAATTATATCACCAGAGATTTCAGGTAATCCAAGCTAATTGGTTTTTAACGCCTGTCATCGTTTGATATTGCTAAACTTATCTTTAGGCAAAATAACATCAAAAGGGCGATAATCCGGCTCTCAATTATTTTAAGGTTTTACTCAAGTGTCAAGACTTTTTATCTATTTATCTCCAAATGTCATTTTTACACATGTCACATTCTAATTGTTATATATACTGTTGATTTTGATTTGAATAATCAGTCGGAATCGGACAGCCGTCCCGAGCACACCGACCTGTATCAAAATTTGTCAGTTCCATATTAAAAGTTAAAACGCTGGTCGGAGTTTGTCTTGAATCTGTTTAATAAGAGTCATAACTGGCAAAGGAACGCAAATCGTGGCTGACAGAATCTTTGGGCCGGATCGTCAGGAAATTAGCTGACGGAATCTCTGGGCATGCCGGATCGTCAGGGAACTCCAAGAGAAGTTCTTCAAGTGAGCAATAAGCCGTTCACGTTTTCCAGTGGGGTCTTATTTTAGCACGGCCCGAGTGTTGATCGGGTTGGTGTAATCATTAAAGATGTGCTAATTGGTGCAGATATCCGGGTACAACACCACCTCTCATGAAGCTGAGCGAGTATTCCCCAAATCTCGAAGTTTCCTAGTAGTACCAGCTTTAACATTGGACTGACATGCAGTTCCGACCACAATGGCAAGTTTCAGCGCCGCTTTGCAGCAGATGTAACAGACGGCATTACTCCATCTGCAACGCCTTGGAGAAACACTGCCATAAATGTGGACAAGAGGGACATTTCAGCAGAGTGTGCGGAGAACGTTCATCCCGCGCGGTAAAATCAGATGCAAAGAGGAAAAGAGATACCGAACGATTGCAAGACTACATCAGCAGGAAAAGTTTGGTCCGGGTACTTCCGTTTGCAAGTTTAAGTGATTCAAAATTTAAAGAGTGTGTTAATTTAAAATCAGTGTTCACAACAGAAGTTCAGTGCGTGATACAAGATCTCAAGTATTCTAAAGCATTAATGAAAATGGACATCGGACTTCTGGAATGGAAATTACAGGAGAAGTCAAAGGCCATCGATGAAAAAGACCATCAGATAAAACTGTATACAAAATACTTAAATTATGCCATGTCGGACCTAAAGAAACTTTCTGGACGTGTTTCCCATTTCAACTGGCTTCTTGAAAATTATGAAATGGAAAATATCGTACTGCGTTCCATCAAGAAGAACTGTGTGTGTAACCGAGATGCTAAAAACAGTAAACTTGCCCGAGAGGAGTATAGACAGTTTAAAAATTCTGAAATATACAAAAAAAATTCTGAACACTAAATTTTGAATCTTTTTGACTTAACTATATGTTTAATTTTGTACTGTTATACACGTGTGATTTTTTAAAGTTTGAGGACAAACTTTTTGTGGCAATGGGAGAATTGTCATATACAAATTTTAATTGAAAAATTCAAATTTTTGTAGAGGACAGGTTATCACGATGAAATTTTATTGTTCCAAAAGATTTATCTAGTTTCTGAAATTAAGCTTTTGTTTCATGTTTTTAAAACAATTATTTCTAAATTTTAGAGCTTTTCAAATTATTTTCTCTGTTTAATTTACGTCTCTTGATTGAATTATATCACCAGAGATTTCAGGTAATCCAAGCTAATTGGTTTTTAACGCCTGTCATCGTTTGATATTGCTAAACTTATCTTTAGGCAAAATAACATCAAAAGGGCGATAATCCGGCTCTTAATTATTTTAAGGTTTTACTCAAGTGTCAAGACTTTTTATCTATTTATCTCCAAATGTCATTTTTACACATGTCACATTCTAATTGTTATATATACTGTTGATTTTGATTTGAATAATCAGTCGGAATCGGACAGCCGTCCCGAGCACACCGACCTGTATCAAAATTTGTCAGTTCCATATTAAAAGTTAAAACGCTGGTCGGAGTTTGTCTTGAATCTGTTTAATAAGAGTCATAACTGGCAAAGGAACGCAAATCGTGGCTGACAGAATCTTTGGGCCGGATCGTCAGGAAATTAGCTGACGGAATCTCTGGGCATGCCGGATCGTCAGGGAACTCCAAGAGAAGTTCTTCAAGTGAGCAATAAGCCGTTCACGTTTTCCAGTGGGGTCTTATTTTAGCACGGCCCGAGTGTTGATCGGGTTGGTGTAATCATTAAAGATGTGCTAATTTAATTGTCATATACAAATTTTAATTGAAAAATTCAAATTTTTGTAGAGGACAGATAGGTACATTTTATGATAAATTGAATAATACATTTTATGACGGGTGATGTTTTACTGTTTAGAAACGTGAGTCAATTGCTCTCTCTCTCTCTCTCTCTCTCTCTCTCATCTAATGGATATTGTTATAGCTGAAACGTGCCCCATCTCTCATGTTAGTTTCTTTTTTTGCGATAGGATTTTGCCATTTCACAAGATTGTTCTTAGTCTTTGAATTTTGTTACATATAGAATATAAAGAAACCTTTTTTGTTTAGCATAAAAGTTATATGAAGCAAAATTCGTTTTCAACAAATTAGCAAAAATGTACATGAAATATTAAATTTGTCAGACAGAAGCTGAAGTCAGGAATGTAGCGCTTATATTTTACATAACACAGAATCTCGCAGTTTGTATCTTCTTCAATCGTTTAGTAAGGAGGAAGGGGAAGGGAGTAAGGATTTTGAGCCTAATCTCTCTAGTGTGCCTCAGGTATGTAATGGCATCACTGTCTGATGTTCGTTTGATATATTTTCAAAAAAAAAATCTGTTTGAAAAACAATGATAACCACATTTGGAAAATGATCTTGCTGGCGAAAAGAAAAATTCTCAGAGACAAATAATACTCCGGGCAAAGTCAACAACTTAAAAATGTTCTAACTCAAAGAAAGGAAGTGACTTAATGACTCTTGTGTAATATTGAAAACCCATTGACCAAGCATTCAAATATTATACCCTAGGTTGTTTCTCTTTGAAAAATCACAAGGTCAAGATGAACAATACCAAGGAAGAAGCAGTTTTACAAGACATACACATGCATAAGCTGTTCGATATATCCTGGTGAGCTTGAGGTAAAACGAACCGCAAAGGCTGACAAATCTGTTTTATACTTGGATATTCAACTTTACAAAGACAGTCATAATAATGTAACAACCAAGCTCTATGATAAACGTAATGACTTTAATTTTTCTTTCGCCAGCTTCCCTGACTAATGCATCAATATTCCTTCACCTGCATACGGAGTTTATATATCTCAGTTGATTCGGTATGCAAGAGCACGTTCTATGGATGAAAAGTTTCTAAAACAAGGAAAATTATTAACCTAAAATGTTAAATACTTTTTATTTCCAATTGAAAATTTTATACAAAAGTATTTATTTTGTGAGATACTATATTTTGGCATTAAAATCTTAAAAATATGAACTAGTTGTGTCTTCTAGCCATCATTTGGGATGAACGAAAATCTTCACCATATTCTATTGTTCCGTCCCAGGGATTGACCCATTTTCCGGACCCATACACTCCATTTAAATAGGCCGCGTGACAGTTCCGGAACCACCACCCCCCTTCCGTGTAAGAAATGAAACATCCGGTTGTTAGAGAGTGATCCGGGGTCTTAAAAGTTTGGTCATTGTTATACCTCAATCTGTCTCCTGTAAAAAGATAAAGATAGAATGAAATAAAAATCGAAATTAACAACTACTTCATTTTTATTTCAAAATCTTTTGGTAAACAGAAAAAAAGACAGATACCATTGTACTTCACTACAAGAAAAGTTAACAATTAAAAACAATTTAATTATAAAATAAAAAAACTTGAAATGCAATATCATAATGTACACATGTAATTGATAAGTTTTATAGACAGAAAGCACAAAAAATAAATATGACAACGTAAGTGTTCTATATAATGTCAACTTGTCATAAAAATTGAACTTATTTATACTATTCTTCAGAATCATACAGTCAATCTGATTGGTTTATAGCAGGTCACGTATGGGAGACAATTTGTGATGTTTCCCTCACGCACAGTGTGATAACTGTGTTGTTAAATTGTCTGTTGACATATTTTGAAAGTGTGAAATCAGAGAAGTGTGAAGGAGACCACAAGAGGTTTGACTGACATTTTCTATTCAATCTTTTAAAATCATTACCAGGAGATTTTCAGGGATAGAATTCAATGGCTACTTAAGTTATACTATATAACCTGGGTTTGGGCAGTTAGTGCTTCATCGACGGCAGCGAAAAAAAAAATAAATGATCCATCTAGCATAACCATATTCATAGCAAATATGGGTGATAGGATGTTATGTCGATGAAATAAATATTTTCATAAGAAAATTGTATTTTACTAATAAAAACGATAAAACACTTAATAGAAAGTATAGAAAGTACATGATAAATTATGTCATTTAATTTTAAATTCAAATTTTCTGGGAGGAACACGCTTGCAGATGAACATAACGATGTGGAAAGATAAAGTAAAAGATCACAGACAATTTGACGATATCACACATCACCTGCTGTTCCGTTAGAGTAAGATCCCAAATGTAATCTATAGTCATCATCAGCGCCACTGACCCGGAAGTCAGAGTAATACTGGAAGTAATGGCTTCCATTTGTATGTTGTAACTTGACGTACAAGGAAGAGGATTTTAGAGTTAGAGCGTGTAATGCATCATTTCCTACAAGAAAAAATGTATGTATAAAAGTATAAGATTTACCAGAGAGAGAGAGAGAGAGAGAGAGAGAGAGAGAGAGAGAGAGAGAGAGAGAGAGAGAGAGAGAGAGAGAGAGAGAGAGAGAGAGAGAGAGAGAGAGAGAGAGAGAGAGAGAGAGAGAGAGAGAGAGAGAGAGAGAGAGAGAGAGAGAGAGAGAGAGAGAGAGAGAGAGAAAGAGAGAGAGAGAGAGAGAGTGAATAATGGTCAATTGTTACAACAAATTAAACTCGTTTAAGGTAAGGTTTGCGTTTACAGGGAGATAACTCTTGCGAATCACCAAAGCGTTTGAAACAGGCAAATTTAAACCAGCGCTGCTAAGCATCTCGGTAACGAATTTCCTCTGTCATACTTGATGTTGTTAAGACTAAAAACAAAGGACGTTTTCAGGAGAAAGTCTTATAACAAATCAAAGCATAGGAATCTTAGAAACCTTTGAGATTAGCGTGATGCATGTGGATGAACCAATAAAGGAGGACTTGTTTATTTTCGATACGGAACGTGGCAAGTTGCACGGCCATTCCGATCAGAAGAAAGTCATTGACGCATTGTGCTATTGTGTTTCTCGCTTCACCACTACACTAAAATTTTAAGTGAGAATGGGAAAGAAAAAAGAAAAGACCTGAGAGTATCCTGTAAAGTATTATGCTATATGCAGTCCGAACAGGGAAGAAAAGTCACGGCCGCGTGCATTTGACCATGTCCAATGATGATGTTGACAGTTTGATTATTGATAGTATTTTCATCAGGTAATTATTTAATTATTCATTTTACTGAAAGTTATGAATGATCTACTGACTACGGATTTAAAAACGATGAATAAACGGTACAAGGATGTCAGAATGTGACTAATATACCAACATTGCCAAAAAATAAAAATGCATTCATTCAAGAAATTATAAAAAATAAAATCCTTGCTTTTTAGGCCTAATATTTGTAACATTACTGGAACAGGTCTTCAATTGTTCAAGTTACCTTTTTAATGAGGTTTGTTTTTAATTAATATCTCATTTTCTAATAAATAAAACAGAGATACAGATTGTGCATGACAAGAACATTAATTTTCTTGATCAAGCATTTGCATTTCACTAATTCAATCTGTAAATTTTACAATAATTTCATATTGATTCTTCATTGATTATATTGGAAATTTATTCATTTCATTGAGGGGATGAAACTCAGTGCAATTCCTTATGCAATTCCAAAAATGCAATTCCTTAAATGTTATTGTAAAAATGAACACATATGATTTCAGATCATGGGTCATTAATTGGAATAGATAAGAACCAAAAAAAAAGTACTTCAGTGTTTCCTTAAAAGATTTGTGCCATCAATCAAAGTAGAGGTCATCCCATATCAGCTCAAGAATATTAAAGAAAGTTGGATGGATCAAGCTAAGATGTTGAACCAGACATGGCAAAATCAATGGAGATTTGGAGAAGAACTTCTGACTTGTTATACCCAATGCATATTTTTATATGTCTATAGATTATAGAAGAAAATTTAATGTTTAACGACATCCTATCTAGTATATACCCGGTACATGCTGTTTTCCATATATTTAGAAAATATGTGTATGTGATGATTGCAGTGCACGCTCTGTTTGTCCATCTTTAATTTGTTTTCAGTAAAATAAATGTATACATCATATGTATTAATTGAAGGTTGCTTTTGTCTATACTTACATTTAACAAGTTTCTTAAAAGGGTTTGTAAAATTGCAAGGAAATTAATACATGAACAATTAAGATTAATATTTTTATTCATTAAATTTTGTTCTTACCAGGACCTAATATGCTCAAATAAGTATTTCTGAAAACTGATGAGATTTGTACATAAAGCTGCAGTGAACATGTATAATTATATCTACTGTAACAGCTAAAAACATGACACTTGGAAATTGTAAGGTTGTTAATTTAGTAGGAATGATAAGACCAGTTTAGTAATCTACTAAAATTAAAATCTTTCACAAATACATGTACATGTAGTTTATTTTAAAATACTTTACATTTATAATCTTTTAATTTTTTTCTGCATTTTGATTTTAAAAAGGAGAAAATTTTGTTATATTTAAATTATTATTTCATGGATATCAAGGAGATATATCCATCACTGTAGCATTGTTTCTTTTTCCCTGTTCTTGACAAATATTTATGACAATGTTATGTCATTTTGCAGAATTTGCCTTTTCTCTGAAATCAGAAGTACTCATTAAAGTATGAATTGATGTCACTTAGAATTCATCTTTATTTTGTTCTGTCTGATATTTCAATTTAGATTCTCAGACTACCTAATCCAATGATTGAGCTAATGTCCATGAAGTTTTAAAAAATGTTTGGTTGTGGGCCTCTCCAGACCGACTGACTAAAATGACCAGACTGAAAACTTTTTTTCAATGCAGTGCAGTATTTTTTTTCTTTTTATTCCTCTTATCCCCCTTAAAAAAATGTTGAAGATTTTCTCACCTACCAACTCAATAATTTTACCCTGAGTCAAGAGAGGGCAAACCAGCATTACTTTAAAGATAGCATTTCTACTCTTCGAAGTAAAGAAATCATTTAATTATAAAAACAGCAGCTTCGTGGATGCAATGCTTACAACATTTCACTCAAAAAATGGCATACATGTATAATGACAGTCACCAGCCATAACTGAATAAAGATATTTTGCTACAAAGATGTCTAGAAGTTACTACAAATTGGAATAACTACATGTAAATCAGCATGAGGTCAAATTCATAGGCTTTTAATTGGTTTAGTTGCAACATGTTCTGAAGTATGTTTATATACATATACATGTACTTCTAAAGGTGTTGCAGTATAATTCATGGACAATTTCATCAGAATATTCAGATGTAAAGTCATTGCAATAAATACTAGAGTTCTTCCATGGAATAAATTTTTAGACCATCATGTAGCACAGGAGGAGTTTTATTTTGAATATTTTTGGCCAATTTATGCCTAAAAACAATATAAAAAATAACATTTAGTCTTTAACATTCACCATGACAAGGTGATATCAATGTTGTCTTAAAAGTGTAGAAAAAGCCTGACTTTTATGTTCCGAACCCATAATATAGCCCCTGTTTCCATGAAAATAATATTGGGGACATACATATTTTTTTAGTTCAAATTAATGAAAATGATCAAACTAATAACTTAATGGATTTTGATGGAATCGGTAGATATGTAAAACGTTGATTTTTATATTTTCGTTGCCATGGCAACGGTTTCACTTTTTCAAGGAAAATTGAAAAATCTTCTTTTTAACCCAAATTTTCACATTTTTGATAACGGAAAATTAAAAGTTTAAATAATAGAAGCATGAATTATTCTAATTCAGGTCATTTTAATTATAAAAGTTTGATAATTTATGAAATAAATCAATTTTTTCAATGAAAATAATATTCGAGGTGAAATATGAAATACGTTAAATTTGGCGTCTTTTACTTAAAAAATGGGACGGGCAATATCTTTGAAAATCATATTAAATGATGAAGCTAATCTCCCTGAATAAATTGATATATAGCATGTGTGCATATTAAAAAAAGTATTAGTTGGAGGGAGACGCAAACCTTACCTTAAACAAATTCTAAAGTTTGTTATAACAAATTAAATTTGTTTAATCAAATTCAATAATCAGGGCCTATAGAAATATATATATGAATTCGATATAACGATTTGTCGAATTCGTTTTAACGAATTTAATTCGTTATTAAAAAAAAGTGAAATTCGTTTAAACGAATTCAATTCGTTATAACAAATTTTAGAATCTGTTAAAACGAATTTAATTCGTATTAACAAATTTTTGAATTCGTTATAACGAAATCAACAGATTTGTTATAACAGATTAAATTCATTATAACGAATTCAAATAAATTGTTTTAACGAATTAAATTCGTTATAACAAATTCGAGAATTCGTTATATCTGATTCAAAAATATTTTTCGATAGGTCCTAAATAGGCTTCCATACCTAACCAATATTCAGTTGATTCATTCCCAAAACCATTCTGATATTCAGTCCAGTTCCTAGAGAAAGACACAGATCCATCAAGCCGCTTTTGAAAAACCTGCACAAAAATTATTTTAAAAAAAAATTTACGACGAGATTTTTTATTGCTTTTTATTTTTTCTCGATAAAAGATTTATAATTATTCTGTTAAAGTTACATGCATCAACCTACTTAAAGTTATATCTGGCGTCAAGTAAACAATTTTGAAAAACTTTTCATAATAAATGTGTTGCAGAAAAGATATTTAGATCTCTTTTAATTATAATTTTTTTTCCACTGATGTTATCCAGGGTGCTTAATGATCATATATTTGCGTAAATCGCATTTAATTTTATTGGAATTGCAAAATAACAGCAAAACTGTTGCAGTAATTAAATCAAACATATCAATATATAAATAGAAACATTTACATATATGTAGCATTTTATGATTTGAAGACACACAACTCTGTATACTTAGGTAAAATCAATACAGCAGAGACACAATAATTCATGGAAAAATGGTATCTTTTTTACATACCGTCCATCCTCCTCCCATGGTCTTCATATCACACAGTACTTCTTTATATGTAGAGTTGTTCCACGGATAGATCCTATAGATACCCGAGGGTCTCTGTCCCTGGTCCATAACCTCAAGGCAGTCCATAGGATATACTATAGAATTTATCAAAGACCAAATACTTACATGTACTAATAAAAACACCATACTAATTAAAACACAAATAAAACATTTGAAATATGTTCAGTTACTTAAATTTGTAGATAAATGTATCTATTTCATTTACTTGATCATATATGAAAAGAACACTTTTCTCTATATGCAAAACAGTATCTGATAGTTAGAAATGTTCAAATGTATTTAAAAATAATTTTAATGTAGATATAGGTTTCTTTATTTACGTTTTTGTAAATTTATGTTCGTATTTTCTATTAATACGCTGTAGTTTTTATTTTTATTTTCTTAGTACATTAAACCGACCCCGAGGCAAATGATGTATCAAAATGCACTACTGGCCATGGAGAAGTAATATATTAGTTTAAAATTTTTCATTTTTTTTATTTCAGCAATTCGAAAGGAAAACTAGTGTTTAAGAATATGATTACCCCTCTATTTCAATCGGTTTTTAAAAATAGTTTTGACATTATTTAGAGTTTTCTACATTTTTCAGCGTAAAGCAATCCGCATAAAGAGTAAGACTGAAGCCATTAGAATGAAAAAAAAGAAGATTTTTGATTTTATTTCAATACAACCAAATCCACAAGCTGATGGAGAACTGCATCCGTATTTCAAACCTTAGATTAAATTTGAAAGCATGACATAAACGTCACAGAACCGATACAAAAGTAACACGTATATAATATTAATTTAATAATTATAAGATTAGATTCATATTGAGAGTTTGCTTAATCTTTACTTTGAAATAAGGAGAGTTTGCTTAATTATAAATTGAAATAAGTGAGGAAATCAAAAGTCTGAAGTTGTGAAAATATTTTCTGAATTTTATATTGTAAGCTTTATCATTCTTACCAGTATCCCCCAGTGTTTCGTTGACTGACACAGATGGCCCCTCATTGATGCTTTCCAGCCTTTGTAATCGTATATTAACGTCATCCAATTTCAACTTTAATTCCGCAATCATCACATGTATATTTGTTGTCCCTTCTTTTGACATCCTCTTGTGTATTTGTACAGTCTCATTTAGAACATCTAACTTCTGACGGAGATGAGAGTTTTCGATCTCCAAGTTTTGTTCTCTGTTTTCCAATGTCTTTATATCCTCTATCACCTTTTGAAGTCTTTTCTTAACATTTTGAGTCATTCTTCTATTGTCAATGACATCCATGACCAGTTTTTGAATTTTCTGCACCATAGAAAACCGTACAAGACTTTCTTGATTTAATATTTCCAGTAAAACGCTTGATGGATTTCCCGAGGCCGTCTTATTCTCCATGGCGCTTTTATCTGATTCAGATGAATTACCAAACGTAACAAACAATAGTAAATATATTATTTTTCTTAGCCCCATGGTTGCTTAAAAATCCATCCTCTAGCTCAAGATAAACTTTCGTTTTTAGTTGCACAATAGTTTACTTATAAAACAAAAAAAATACCGGTTTTTCCCGTGCGTCTCATACACATTCCTGGGATGTTTTGTGAAATTTGCCACCCACGCAAACAAAATTAACTATTATCCCTTAAATTTACAATGATTTCTTAGAATTTACATATAAAAATAAACAAAGGGGGATGAGGTGTAAGAACAATGTATCAACTGGCTTTGTTTTTTAAGTATAACTGCAATTTAGTAAAATGAATTTTTTCTTTTATATAATACAATCTTTTATTCTAAAAGACATATTTTCGAATTAAGGTTAAGGTTTTAAGAATTTATTTTCATCGGAGTTCGGTGTAAATATGAGCCTTGACCATTTCTTAATGTAACATAATGCTATAAGTATTAAACAATTTTCCCCATCATTTTAAGTCTAAAACTGTACCAGCATAGTCTGTTTCCTACATCATGGTCACTGCAATGAAGAACAACCTTCATTTTTTTTAGCATGCCGGTCATGTATCGTTAATTCATTTTCAGCACTGAAGAAGATCACAAATTATACTTGTTAGAAAGGGTTTCATCACAGATTTGTGAAACTATTATGAATTAGGGGAAGAATTGTAATTTTTTTGACGCAAGATAAAAACTATCCCGGAATTATTTATCTATAGTTTATCTTTCAATATAAATGCAAAATTTCATGTTCTAGCATGTCAATATGGAATGTTTCTTACAATTCTTACCTTTCTTAAACTACTAAAATCAGTCACTGTAGATCTACTAATTAATAGTTCTAAGTTGAAGATTTTGTTTTTCGTGATTTGGCAACCTTGGATTATTGCAGATGATGCTTTTTTTAGTTAAATGTGAGATTAAAGCTGGTCTTGGAAGTTAATTTCGGTTGCTCTATCACTACTTTTTATGAAAAACAAAGGACTATCTTTTTGTACAATTATAATATCATATATTTCTAATTCTATTCATATCAGTGTCTTTCATGGTTCTTTTTTAGTATACGGTTTATAATCATCGTATTTTGTTAAATTAGAATACTGAAATTCTTTTGAGATTCATTTAACTCATCTTGGAGGCACTAGTGTTCCCAACATGTTCGATTGACAGTATCTCTGTATGATCATTTAAAATAAATGTACCAAATAAAAATTTTCTGTTTAAGATTATGGCATAATACCATGATATAAATCTCAACTGAAAATATATACTTTGTTAAAAAAAGTGAGTATGTTTCCTCCATCGTAAGACGGAAATCATTCATAAATATGCACTTTTCAGTTTACCTATACTATTTTTTAATTAATGTTTCAAACTTACTTTTAAATGTTGAGCTAATTAAGAAGCCCTATGCAAACGTTTGTATTTATATCAGAAACTGGATCCATTTAAAACGGGAAGGTAATAAATTGTTTTTTACTGATATATGACTTTGTCTTAAAGCATTTTAATCATTATCCAGATATTTCAAAAATAAAGATGTCATACCACACACGCAGAAACATATTGGCGTCCGTAAACAGTTCTATCTTGAAAATTTATATTTGCATTCCACTTTGTAGAAAACAGCTCTGATAGCTTTCGGTGTTCTATTTATTTCTCTGAAATTATTTTCAACAGACGTTATTTCTTATTACCGTCATTTCGAAATCATTGAAATGATTTTCATTTCGAAATCGTTTCAACGGTTGTCATTTCGAAATATACGACAAAAAATGTGTACGTATATTATTATAACAAGATTCTAATCCATATTATATCAGGAAATAAATTATTACCTGTTCCTAATAGTAGACAAAGTAATCAATTATGTAACTGAATGCCCTGGTTTTCTAAGATGTCTGCAGACTATAAAAACTGATGATCAATTTCTTCATTGTGTTATTATTGATGCGTCCACTTGAACATGTAAAGTCTTGCATACAGTATAATAAGTAATTATTCAAGTCTCTCCTTCTTTCTCTCCATTATAATTAGTAAGATACATTTGACTGTTTCTAGAAGTACATGTACCACGTATCTTAAGCTTTTTTCTTTCTATATATACATAATTATATATACCGTAAATCTGGAAGTCTTTACGTTGATTTTATTTTGCGAATTCGGGTCAAAATGCTGTTGATTAATTCTTATGTTTCAAAATTTTGCGAATGACCACTGCTTTGTTTAAATTTTCTTAATGGTAATTTATTTTTAAGAAAAATATTTTTGCGAATGCAATGAACTCGCAAATTTCCTAAAAATTTATCTACAGCATAAATTTCCAAATTAATGGTATTTGGCTTTATTTTTTTAAATGCATTATGGAGAATGCTTTGATAATGCTGTTAATTACTTAACCTCATTTTAAGACATCTACTTGACATACAATTAAATTGCAACAACATTGAACACGATCTAAAGTTCTGCTTCGTATCAAATATAATAAGTGTTAAGTTTTGCTTTAAGAAAATCTAACGCAAGGCAAACCATCCCCTGGCAAAGAGCATAATAATATATGCATCGGGATCGAAGTTGTAGAATGCTTACTTGATTTAAAGAATACGATCCCGATGCATATACATGATTGTAATATGTCACTTCCTTTTCGCACAGAATTTACTGACCCACCACACGTTCATCTTAACACAAAACAGGTACATGTACACGGACATGTATTGTAAAGCAGAGATGTAGTTATTATTATATATTTACATCCGATGAATATTATTCCTTTATTTCTTATGAAGACCATTGCCATTAATCAGTGCATGAACAACACTTAGCTAGCCCACGTGCGTGGATTTCTTAATGAACAATGGTAGTTCCATCACCTATGCATACATGTACAATGACATACATGTATTGATCTTAAATATACTTTAACACATTCGATTCTACTTTTAATGATTTTTAAATACAGATGTAAATATAAACAATTAAATGCTTTCTTTGTTTGTTAGTCCGGGAATTAACGTTACGCTTACGCGGGTTTTGTATATATTTTAAATTTACAACTGACTCAATGTCTTTCATTTCTTAAATAAAATGATGAAACATCGAAAGTCGAAGCCTTATCCACTACTCACAAGGTATCAACAAACAAGACATAAGCGTGATAAAAGCGCTGTGTGTTTACATTTTCAAGTACGGGGAAACAACTTTAATATATGACGTTACGCAAAAGCCTTTGAACCTTAAATAAATTAATAAATAAATAGATAAAGTATTCCATAATCAATGCAAAACTTATTGTGTTTCCTATTTCACCGAATCCCTAAAAAATTTTCGAGTAAACATTACCTATTTCATAAAATTAAGCTGACCATTTAATCAACGTGTACCTGATCTCGCTGTTCTGATCGATTATGGATGACGTCACTGATTTTAAACGAGCTTTAAATTCCCCTTGTAACATTTACGACATTTATGACCACTCTCAAAATGCTACTCCAAATACAGTTTTAGTCTGATTATAACATAATGTGGCATGCAAGTAGACTACACTAAGAACATAAAGAGACTTTATGAATTAAGAATCATTATTCTATTTATTGCTGTTGTAAAGTTTCAATTCCCAACTCTCTTCCTTTGCTATAAGTACAAACCAGTAGAGCTTCAGTCTCGACAGAGGCTTCTGGTTATATTCATATTTAAGTAAAGGAAGATGCAAGTTCTCTCTTTTTATATATAATTTACTCTGGGAAACAAAAGGGGTATATTTAAGGAATCACTGTCTAGTTAGTTTGGAATTCCAGGGCATCAACGATAACGGGAAACATGGGATAATGTGCATAACGGGCGAAGCCCGTTATTCATAAATTACCCCATGTTTCCCACTCCCGTTGATGTCCCCTGCATACTATACTAACGAGACAGTGATTCCTTATATTTCCATTTCATTGTGAAATAAAATTGTAGATTTGACTTCAAAAATGTAGACATAGATTTAAATCACACGAGGACTCCCATGCAAATTTCAGAAGTCCTCGCCAACTGACGTCAAACACAAATATTCAACTTCAAACATATGATGATAATTTTGCTTCATTATCAAATCACTACAAGGGTTATTTTCATGAGAAATATATGTGTTTTACCCAGTTTTCGAAAGCAGACCAAAGAAAAGAATACTGTAGATCACTAAATTTTCGCGACATCTTATTTTGGCGAGATAGTCATTGAATCTACATAAGCGAGACATAATTTTCACGAATTGTTGTTTTTCCTCTATATAATCGTAAGGAATACTTTTAAACGCGAGAATGAAATTTTCGCGAGCTCATTGTCTCGTGTAATTACGCGAAAATTAAGTTTCTCGCGAATAAAACGTGATTTACAGTAATTTTAAACCAGAAATGCATGTCCAAGCATTAGTACGAGTAATTATGTTTGTAAGCTTTTGTTCTAAAGTGAAAATTTAATGTATATAGTTACACATGACTGTACATATGATTTGATTCAAATGCAATCAAAATATGTTCCCCCAAAATAAGCTACAGTATGTCTAAATCGATCAGAGAAGATATACCACAAAGCAAATGATTTCATCTTTTCTTATGATCCCGAGCTTTAAGTTTCCTTTGTGACATTTACGACATTTATGACCATACGGAGCGGAAATTATCACCCTAGATGATTCCGAGTGTGACAGAAAAATATTTTCGTTTCTTATGAAAAAAGTCGCAGTTGGAAGCACTCAGTGATCTTGGGAGTATAAGCAGCTATGGACGTCTAATAAGTTAGGCTACATTAAAATCCCCAGGACACATGAAAGATGCCGCGGATTTATGAACATTTTACAATTTTCTCCACGTGTCCTTTAATGGCACTCATATTCAAGATGGCGGATCGCTGTAGTCCTAGGTAGCTATGACGGTGGTATAAAACGAGTGTCTTACTCGGTCTATGGAGGGTTAATTTTGACGTACGCTGCTAATTTTAATTGACATACGCTGCTAATATTCTTCTAGGCTGACGTTGTCAAATCACATAAAAAGCGAGTTAATTTCACAAAAAAGTAATGAAAATTGTGTCTTGGGATCGTATCTTTTCCACGTTTAAAAAGTTTTTAGCAAAGTTAA